CGGGCCCGCCCCCCCCCCCCACGCACACACACAACACAACCTACCCCTTTTCCGAGTTTTGAACCGCTGGCCTGTTAGCACTGGCTTCTGATGCTTATTCATAAAATTTCTGAAAACAAAGAAAATAAAGATTATGTAATTCAATTAAGCAGTTCATATAAAAATGGTCCTAATAAGCATAATGGGACTAATAAGCATATGTTTAATCTCACCCATATTGAATATACTTTTAAAAAATGAGATAATTTTAACTAGTGAATTAGCAAAAGTTTTAAAGTTTAATAATATCTAGTGTTGACAAAAGACATAAGGGAAACAACCTCAGGCATAAACTTTGGCATAAGGGAGAAACTCCATGCAATACTACTGGGCAGCATTTGTTGAATACCTATAAATATTTACATGTGCACAACCTGTGTTCCAGCAATCTCTGTACTGGGAATTTATACCCACACAAATATGTAAATATATTTTGTGAGTGTGTGTATAGAAAGAATTCAGTTGAGCATTGTTGGATGCATAAAGAAATGGGAACTTAAATGCTCATGAGGCTGGTTAAACAAGTTATAATAAGCCATCAAATGGAATTTCATGAAGCTTTACAAATGAAGGAATTAGCCGTGGTACCTTTCCGATTATGTTTCCTACATCTACCTCTCTTCCCATCACTCACTGTGCTCCAGCCACACTGCCCTTTCTTCTTCCAATGTGCCAGCGTGGTCACCTCTCTTCTGGGAAGGATGCTATCCCAGTCATTCCCTTGGTTTTCTCTCTACCCCCAATCAAATGTGTCCTGTGCAGTGAGGCTTCCTTCTCTCCATGGCACTAAGCAGGCCCTACCATTTTATCATGTCTGTTTGCCTCCGGTCTATTTCTCCCTTGAGGTGTAACCTCCGTGCAGGTAGGGACTTCATAGGTTTACTCTATAGTGTGTCTTTAGCACCTAAAATAATCCTGAGTAAAGAGTAAGATTTAATAAATAATGTCCCACAAGCTGTGACACTGACATTGTCAAATGAGCTGTGCCAAGGCATTGCTAATGGAAAAAAACAAGTGGAATAAGAGTGTAAAACAGAATTTTTTGGTTAAAATGGTGATATATATATTCTACTTTTCTATGCAACCAAAACATCAAAAAGATATCAAAAACTGCTAAAAGTCTTGTATTTGTTTACCTCACAGGGCAGAGATTTGGGTATTCTATATTATCTTATTGGATTTAATACACAACTAAAAAATATACTAAATTAGCTTTGAAAAAAGCAAAAAAATAATAAGTTTGCTGGCATAAATATTACAATCTGAAAATATGTCTAGATCACCTAAATTATGAGAACTAACAATTAAGATATCAAGCAAATTATTTAATTATCTTTCAAAGTGTTTAAAAATTGTGACTTGAAAATGTCCAGATTTTCTCCAATACTTACACCATTATAAACAATCAAGAAAATTTGTACTATTCAAGTAAATTATTTATGTCTCAAGTTTTAAAAAAATTCTTAAGCATGGAAAAATTATTATTCAATTTATTACAAAACTTGCTTCAAACCCACTAAAGAAGAGAAACTTCTATTTTCACATAGAAAGCAATCTGTTTATCATTGAAAACTTTAATCATAACTTTAAAAAATGAAACTAATTTAAAATAAGGTAACAAACGAAAACAGTAATATGGCTTAAATAAAGATGACTTTTATCAATCCTATAAAGTGAACTTAATCCACCTTGCTTTGCAAAATAAAGGTGACTAAGGCAGATTCCATACCCTCAAAAAAGCACAGAGACTCTGGAGATAAAATTTCAACATTTACAATGCAATGAGATTGGATGGGAAAACAGTAGTACAGTCCCAGAAGAAGGGCCGAGAAAGTGACTGATTGCTGTATGTGGATGCGGCAGCCGCTACGCTTTAAATAGTTATAAATGTAATTGATGAAATCTCATTTCATTTGATAGATGTTGGAAATGGAGCTTCTAATGCATTATTTATACTCACTGCTAAACTCTTTCATTCAGAAATTTCCCTCTTGGCATTTTCAATGGATTTACTCTGGATCAGCAAGCACTTCATCGAGGAACAAGTAATACATATAAACACGTGTGTACCCAGACATGTGTGTGTGCGCATGTATTCTCCTTGTATCCACACCTCCCCTTAAACAACACATTTTTATATAAAATGTTTTCTTGTGTTAGTAAACAAAAATACCTGTTACAGAGCTGGGGTCTCACACCAGAGATGCAAAAACAAAAATAGGAAAAATAAAGAACAACTAGCCTGAAACTCCTCGAGTAGGTAAACCTGCAAGGAAGGAGTTACACTTTGCCAAGGATGTTTATATTTTGGAATAAAAAATATTTTAAAAGTATGAGCCCTCTCTAAAAGTTGTATTTTAGGATCCAGAATATAAACAACTGGGATCCCCCAATTAACTCTACCTTTGTACTTTGTTTCTATTTTGCTGACAATGGAGAATTACCCCTACACACAGCCTACATATGAGGGAATTACTCCATTTTAAAAATTGTTAGATTCTAAACACAAACCTTTGTTTCTTCATAGCCTAATTATATGGCATTGCACCCTCAATATACTTTATGTGGAAAATAACACAGTAACTTGTAAACATAAAAAAGATGGGAAGATTTTGATGTACACACCGAAAATTAAAACAAACAAACACAGAGACTGACCTACTGGTATTGAAAGACTAAATGAACATATTCTGTTCACCAGAAGTCTCTATCGTTTAGCTGTTACTATTTGGAGCAGAGGCTTGCTTTCCCTCTAAATTTAGCTCTCCCTGCCACATTATAATCTGCTCTAGTGAAGGTCAGCCTTTATAAGGCACTCACCGAAGCCCTGGCCACAGAAGCAAGGGCACTTGACTAAGAAACTGCTAGCTTTAACCTGGGAAAGTAACAAAGAAAGAGCCGCAAAGCCAGTTCTATCAGGCCAATGTCAAAAACTTACTTTCATTAGATTGCATTATAATTTACAACTTAAAATCAACTAACTAAAAATACATTTTAAAAAATCAGCATTTAACAGAGTCTTCAAAGACAAATTTGTCTGGGGTATAACTTATACATCATGATTTGGACTCCATTAAAAAAACTATCAGCCCAAGACACACAGACAAAGTAAGCTCATGTCCCATCAAAATGGAAAAACTCCATGGTATAAAACATTATTTAAAAAAATTATATGTAAAATGCTAAAAACAAATTTAAGTATTTTACTTGTTATCTAAGAGACTAAATTCCTTAGCTATTCCACAAGATAAAAGACCATAAGAATACTAAATGAGCCAATCAATCAAAAATTGGAAAGTAGTTACTTTATTAATGAAATAAACATTTTTGAATAAATTCCTATTTAAGTCCAAATTGAAAGACTTAACTGAAAGGTTTTTAGGTCTAACAGATAAACGTCCCCCTATTTCACTCTGAATTTTCTAACTGTCCTCATTCCTTTGTAGATTCCATCACATACTCCCAGCCAGACTGTGGCCAAGGAGTGACAATGGGCCAGCAGCACAGATGGGCCTCGTGGCAACTGTGGACTAATTCTGCCCGTTGTACAGCCCACCCTGAGTAGATTGCCTGTTTGCATGTTTCTTGCCTGATAGTCTTTAATTCTCTCATTTTTGGAAAGAATCTGATCTCCCAGAGGGACATGCATTCTAGTTGCCCCTACAAAGGTACAACTGCTCTCAGCTAGTAATTCAGAGGTTTGGCCTGATAACTCTATTCTTGATGTTCTTCTGACCCCGCTCATCTTTGAATTTTGATAACCTGGCTCAGATAACCTGTTACACTACTAACATATGCTCACACATAACAACTACGTTACACAACCTCAACAGGTATACTCTACAGGGCGGTCACAATCTTTTTCTACAAAGGGCTAGAAAGAAAATATTTCAGGCTCTGTGAGTCATATGGTCTCTATTCCAACTACTCAATTCTGTTGTTACAGCCTAAAAACAACCATAGACAACATGGAGACATTTGGCTGTATTTCAAGAAAATTTTATTTACAAAGCAAGGGGGGTGGGGGTTAGAGTGAGTCCTAGGTCATGGTTTGCCAACCCCATTCTAGAGCCACTGTAACTAGCAGAACTGTCTGAGATGGTGGAAATGTTCTGATGCACTGTCTCCTTGTATCTACTAGACATGTGGCTATGGAGCTCTTGAAATGTGACTGAGGGTGACTGAAAAACTGAATGTCTCATTTTATTTAATTTTTGTTCAGTAAAATTAAAATGGAAATTGCCTATGTGGCTAGTGGCTATCATGTTAGGCAACCCAGTTCTGAAATATTCCTTATTGCCCAAAACTCATAAATTTGATTTAAAAAAAGATAAAAATATATCCAAAAGTAGGAATTTTTAATTAATATTTTTCAAATAAAGTAGCCCTGAGGAGCATTTATTTTGCCCCAATTTCAAAACCACATGGCTATAGCAGCAAAAGAAAAGAAGGACCAAACTTCAAAGTGAAACTCGGTGTGGAGTCAGTATTGCTGAACACAATGTGCAGACAGCCCCCAACAACGAAGGGTTATCTATTCCAAAATTTCAATAGTTCCAAGGTTGGAAAACCCTGCACTAAAGAGGAAACAATGTTGAGCAAAACCAAAGATGGTGCTTGCTCTCAAGAGTTAAAAACTGCATGCACTGCTCTGAACATACCAGAGTAGTAAGCAGGCAGATATTTCCTTGAATGACTTGTTTCTGTTTGCCAAACACTGACGTCAATGTTAAAGAACACAGATTTATCACTGAGGAGCTTGTCACAGCTAAAATCAAAAGTATATTTAGAATACAAAAAAGTACTTCCCACAGTCTTCAATACTGATTTATGTACTTCCATGTGATTTTAGATACTCTGATATTTAGATGGAGCGTGGAAGAGGCAACAATCTGGGATTTAAAGAGGGGGGTAGAAAAAGAGGAAACTGAACACCAGCATGTTTATTTTAAAAGTCCTATGTTCCAATGCATCACTTTAGGAAAACAAGAAACCTTTTTTGAAGAGGGAAATGTCCTTGAAATTTATTAATCATATTATAGTCTTAAGCTTATAAAAAACAAGATAGTC